TATAATAGTTCACAGTTAAACTGATTGACAAGTACCAACAGATATAACAGCAACACAAAACTAGGAAACAGACACACTGTAAGGAACATGCAAGACAGCAGCACAGGGAATCTGCTTGCAATATTGCTCCTACTTTTCAGCCATGGAAGTTCCTCTCTTTTTTTTTTTTTAGGAAGCACTTCCTGAATTTTGGCTTTAAACTCTCACCTGTACTGCAGGATAATACTAAGATATTTACTTAAAGGTTGCTGCAGCCACAGACAGTTTTAACTGACATAAAAGACAGCTCCAAGGACAGTGCAAATGGATGTCAAATATACCACCTGTATTTTCCTTCTAATTGAGGAAGAAACAGTCCTACTGTTGTCCTGAGATCAAATTTCAGATTATCTGGAAACTTCCAACACATAGAGCAATTATTTCCACTTCTCCTTCAGTTAGCTGATATGTTATTGTTGTTTTTTTTTAATAATAATGATTTTACAAAGATTCTTCCTGTAACAAGTGTCAACAAAAAGCAGAGCAAGCTATCTTTAAGGCATCCAGCCTTAAGACCTGCAACTTACTACAGCTTAAGTTCCTCACAATGGTGTACCAGGAAAGAGCTCCCTGCTCTTCAACAGTATTAAATATTACTGTGTTGTAGTAGTCTCTCAAAGCAATTACTGCATTGTAGTAATACCATTAACTATTGAACAGTTATCCTGGTTTTGGCTGAGATCCTGTTAATTCATCTCCTAGGAGCTGGCATGGTACTGTGTTTTGTAGGATGAGAATACTTTGGAGAACTCACTGATGCTTCAGTTGTTGCCAAGCAGGGCTTACACCAAAGTCGAGGACTTTTTAGCTTCTCACCCCACCTGCAGTGAGGAGGCTGGCAGGCACAGGATGCTGGGGTGGGACACAGCCAGGACAGCTGAGCCAGGCTGTCCAAAGAGCTATTCTAGACCATATGGTGTCATGCTCAGCACATAAACTGGGGAGAAGCTGTCTGGGGGCTGCTGCTCGGGGACTGTCAGGCCATCAGTTGGCAGGTGGGAGGTTGAACTTTTTTGTTCATGTTAATGCCAAGGTTCTTCTAAGAATCAAGGAAAACAGTGTCACAATACTCCCAAAGAATCTGTACCAAGTATATTCCATTAAAGAAGAAAAAAAAAAAATCCCTTACCACTCTCAAGAGCTCACTAAGTCAAGAAAGTCACTATAACACAGTATGTCATCTCCACCTGCATAAACTGGTTGAGATTTAACAGAAAGCAGTAGAGTGAAGGTCATTGCACTGTCTACATGGAAAAAACAACCAACCAACAAAACAAAACCAAAAAATAAGCAGTCTTAAAAAATCCTGGAGAACAGGAACTTTGAGCCACCATGGATGTGCCAGTCAATTAATGCTGGCAAAACCTACATGTTTTAACATTGTAGCTTCAAAATTACTTCAGACCAGTATGAAACTCTGCCTGAGTTACCTAGCACAGAGATGGTACATGAAGAGCAGACACCTAGGGTTAAACACAGACACACAGAGACACAAAAACTCAGAAGAATTTATTGAAAGAATACCTTGCAAAATTTATCTTTTTCCAGGGGGATAAAAAACAAATCCCAGACTAAATTCAGTATTTATAGTGGCTCATACTACCATTCACCATTCTGATTTATAACATTTTAAGAAAAGCACAGGGAACAATTCATCTCAAAGAATATCAAGCTGCTCCTGAGTTTTGGCACATTACAAGAACACTGAGTAGGCTGTGAAACATACTGTGTTAATAACAGCACAGCCACTATTATCCACTGCTACCAACACTCTCAATCCAGTCACCTCATGTGCCAGGTTTGTTTATATCCAGTTTTCATAACATTTTTTACAGCTGTACTGATTTCGTTATGGATAAAGTTGGAGACTTACATAAGAAACATCTGTAGACAGAACACTGGAATTTTCAGCATAATACTTCAGTAATACTTCCTACATTATGCCAGCCCACAGCACAACACACTGACAAGTTAAGTACTGTGTCCACAGTAAAGCTCTCATAATTAAATCAGAACTTCAGAGAAACTTTACTAGTGATAAAGCAGCTGTGCAGATTTTATTTTCTTTAAAGAAGAAGACTCGTACAGCAGTTTTAAATCTTCAAATCCTAACAGATCATTAAAGCATCTCTCACCAGAGAGTGAAACTGACTTCAAAAACCATGAGTAGTACATACCCAAAGAACTCATCCCTGAACAGGATATTTAGAACAACCTAAAATGTCCCATTCTGCTGAAAAATGTATCTTTTTAGGATAAAAAAAATAATTAATTTTTACATTATAGATGTCCTAGAGATAAGTAGCACAAATATATGAATCACTGGCAAATTGATCTTCAGTAAACAAAGACAAGCTTCTGTTCTACTCTGCATTCACAGTAACAGAAATAAAAAAAAAGATACTGACTGGGTAAGAATTTCACTCCAAGAACTTCCATCCTGAGTTTAGAGGGGAGGATCAATGACCTTAGGAACAAAGTATGGTAGAAAGGAGGGGAAAACCACAGAAATATAGGAGAAAGCAACAGAAAATTTATTTGTTTTTTATAAAGAACATCTATTTTAAATGGGGGAGAGAGGAGGGGGCAGAGGTACCCCCTGAGTGCTCCTTCCAGGATCTCCATGATGATAGAATGGTTTGGGTGGGCAGGGACCTTAAAAATCATCCAGTTCCAACCCTTGCCACAGGCAGGAACATCTTCCACTAGACCAGGCTTCTTCCTATTTCACAACAAAGAGCCTCTGGAACAGAAAGTTCTTCGCCCATTATAAAGAAAGCCTTTAAGACAGCATTAGGTGACAATTACTAATCAGCCCCTCACTATGTTACCTGAATTCTAAGAAAGAAGAAATGGCAGTAAAATAAAAAGGTGAAAGTAAAAGAACATCTCAAGTTTGCTTTGCAAATCCATCTCACCTTCAAGAGAGGAGGCTTCCTTCCTATGTTTTGCTGACACACCTACAGCAAGCGGTGACAATTACTAATCAGCCCCTCACTATGTTACCTGAATTCTAAGAAAGAAGAAATGGCAGTAAAATAAAAATGTGAAAGAACATCTCAAGTTTGCTTTGCAAATCCATCTCACCTTCAAGAGAGGAGGCTTCCTTCCTATGTTTTGCTGACACACCTACAGCAAGCCTGTTACATACTCTCAGTAACACTGCACTGAAGCACTGTAAATTCCCCACAGCAGCTCACCTGCAATTTTCTGATCCAAAGTACAAATTACATTTCCTCTCATGTTTAGAAAATTGCATACAATGGGATCCTAAATACACAGTAATAACTTCCAGCATACCAGATTCAAGATTATTGGCCTCAAATTGCAACTCTGCATTGACACGTTCCATCGACCACAAGAAAACAACCATACAAAAACTGTGTCTTACCTTATCCTTTTCATGGGGAAGGAGACACACTGGAGGGAGACAGGAAAGAGACTCAAAACTCTCCTTCCCATCAGCATTAGTGGTTGCTTTAGTGTTGAGTTGGTACAGAGGTCCATCCTTAAGGAGCCTACCATGGCCAACAGCACGTTTGACAGCTAATCGTAATTGCTGGTGAAAAATGGAGGCAGCGCTGCCTCCAAATAACGCAGACACATCTTTCTGACCTTTCAGAAAGCGCTCGATGTTCTTCAAGGATGAGCCACTAGACTCAGCCAAGCCCTCAATTGCCCGTTTAATAAGTTTATTCCAGTCCACGTTTGGTTTACCATCCAACTTGCCATGGTTCCGAGGCTTCGGAAGTGCTATTCTCCCAGGATTATCAGGATCCTTGTAGGAGTTGAGACCCTTGTTGGAGACTTTTAAAATAGTTCCATCTTTAACACTCAGCTCTAACTGTTCCAGAACAGTTTTGCGGTCCAAACCATGCGAAGATGACACGGCGTTGCATATCCTCTCCTCTGAAGGTCGCTGCTTTTGCTTCTTTACTTTTTTGATTGCCTCCAAAATCCACTCTGTGTACAGCGGGTTGGCGAGTTTTACCATGGTGAAGAATTCTGTATATCCATAGAGTCGTTATCCTTTATCCTGATGCTGAACGAGCTTCAAACGACGAGAAAACAGATCCTCGAGTGATGGGAACCAGCTAACCATAGCATACACGTTTTCTGTCCTGAATTAATCCTTCTTTCTCAAACATTAGTTCGTTTTCACACTGAAGAGAAGAAAGCAAAACAATTAGAAACTTATGTACTCTTTCCAATAAATCCCATAACAGCTTCACAGAAAGGTTTTACACAAATATAGAAAGATTTCAGCATGATCTCACCTGAGCTTCTGGTCTCACAACCAAAAGAGCTCTAATGTTAGGCCTAGAAGAAAACAAGAGAGACATTTAAAAAAAAACTGTTCTGAAGAAGAAAAAAGTAGCAGACAATATTAATTTGTTAAACACATAGCAGAGTTTTAAGCCTCTACATTTCTGAAATACTGAAGTAATACTTCAGATTTTATCTTCACTACTAATAAAAGCATTCTTTAGCACTAAAATTACCCCATGCAACCTAGAGAAAAATGTCCTTTCCATTTTGATCCATTAGTCTATACCAAGATTTGTATCACTGCTGAGCACAACATAAATTAATATTTGGGGGGAAAAAGAAAACCACAACAAACATCTTAAAAGAGCAGCAGCTCTCTTAATTTTTACACATGGAAGACACTGCCTGAAACTGACAGAAAATAGGAATAACTAAGACTCTTGAGCAAACAGCGAGAAACTCTCAGAGCACTTTCAGGAGTGTAATCATGGGTTTCCCATCTGTGAAGAAAAGCTATGACAGTTGTTCCATAAAGGGAAAAAAGTGAAGAAACACAGCTGGAGATTGCAATTTAATGGTCCACTTTGAGAGGCCACAGAAAAAAAGAATACAAGGTAATTTTCAGTATTAATGAGGCCCACTGAAAACTCCTGAGGACAAAGTAACAGGTGACCATACACAGTGTAAAAGGAATGCTTATGACACTGCTAATTAATGATGCTGGTGAAAGGGTATGAGGCTCTACTTTAGAGCCTTTAGTTAGTTATCTTTAAAATAGGATTTCATGGGTGTGATAACTGTCTGTTGTGCTGAAGTTCTGCTTCAGGAGTACACTAACCAAGAAGGATGTGTAAAGTGTTTATCACAAGAAATAATGATTTCCTACAAGGGAAGTTTCAGACAAGAGCTAAGTTCACAACACAGTTACCGTGCTCTGCTTTCTAGTAAGCACTGAAGAATTTATCAATACACGGAACACATTTGCATACAGACACCAGACTCAACAGCAGAGCTCCACACGGCCAGTATTGGAAAGACTCTGAACGACTGCTTAAACCAGAAAAGATGCAGTGCTTGCCTAGAGTTCTTTTATTCTGCGAACCACAGATGTAAAGGGAAATACGGTCCTCGACACCTGCCCGCCTCGCAAGACAGAGATGCGCTCCCGCGGTGCCCCTGGATCCCGAGGCCCGAAGGATGCCGTCCCCCGTCCCAGCCGAGCTCCGTACGCAGGGCGTTATGCAACCGTCCGGCCAGGCCGGGGCGACACCGGGACGGTCCCAGCGCCGGTGGGTCGCTGGCTTTCCGGGTGACAAGCGACCCCTGCACCTGCTACCGCTCGTCCCCATCCCTACCGCGGGCAGGTCCCGCGGCAGGCGCCCCAAGGAGCGCGCTGCCTCAGCACAGAGACTCGCGAATTCGGGAAAAGCGGGGCGCAGGCCGCAGCCGCGGCGGACAGCCGGGCCCCGCGCAGCCCTCCGTCCTCCCGGACACGGGCAGTGCGGGCCCGGCCAGCTCCTCGCACTGGTACGGCCGGGCCCGCGCCCGCCTCAGCCGCGCTCTCTCGCGCCAGACACTGATCGGAGCTCGGCTCGCGGAGCCCCGTCCTGTTCGCCC